ATAGACATGATGCATGGATGATTATGAAACTAATTGCAAACAAACTCTAGGGCTGTGACATTTTCGTGGCCAAGGTGCCAGAGGGCAAGGGCTTTGTCGATAGCACCATCGGGGGTATGATCGTCCTGCGGTTTGATGACATCTTCGCTATGTTTAACCTTCATCCGCTGCACTACACCTTCATTCGGCTATTTTCGCTCAGTATGGAGATGCGGATCATTAGAGACAAGACCCCGGACATCGTGATAGTCGACCCCTTCTACATGCGTGCCAAGATCTTAGGCAGCGCTGGGGACCTCAAGTCACGAGTTCATACTTCGAAGGCATCATTCTGGCGAACCCAGATAAGGCTAACTTCCTCGTGCCTTACTTTCCCGAGTAAGTCATCCACTCACCGCCCCGTAACATATGATTTCTTAGATTTCGATCGTTCTTTTTTTCTAACATTCCGTGTTTTGTGCAGTGACACACATTGCACACTCATCCTCTTAAGCCCGAAATATTCCATGGCCACGTATTTCGACTCAGACCGTCAGTCGAAGAAAGACTACAAAAATATCAAGAAAGTTCTTGATGATGCTCTCCTCGGCTACACCAAATCTGGAGGCACCTTCAGGAGGCCAATTTGTAGGTACGGCAAGCACGTGTTCACCCACATAACGATGTTCCCCTGCGTCAAGCAGCCGCCTGCCGGTCAGAAGGATGCCTACTATGCCCTCCATCACATGTGGGCGATCGTACGGGACCAATCACCTTCTGCTACCAAATAATCTCAAAGATTGGGCCGCAAGCTTGTCGGCAATCCAGGACGCGAACATCAGACAAGAATTCTTTTGCATCCAGTCGGAGTTTGCGGAAATCATCCATCATAATGTCCTTCGTACCTCGGGGCAGTTCTACCTCAAATATCAACCGTCCAACAGTGAAATAGAAACAACGCTACAAATGCCGGCTGACAACGATCACGATTTCATGACCATCATGAAAGACGGTGGCTTCATCCACGCTCCGGTCCCTGAGTCGAGTCGAAAGTAATGATACTATGTAGTTCTGAAATATCGATTAGCTCATGTTGTAATTAAACTTTAATGAACTTGTATGTCTCTTTGGTTTGGACAGTCGTTCAACTTATATGTAATCGATGCTATTTATTAGTAGGACCATGAATCATGCTATTAATGTGTTGTTTTTCTCTTTCGATCATTTTGTTGCATACTTATATATTGCCTATGTATTGTCTGTGAATTGCTACTAACGTTTTATTTGTCTAGTGCATAGAGATGCCGTCGTATGTCATGTACAAGGGTAAGGTTCCCGGAGTCTACGACGACTGGGAGGAGTGTCGGAGACAGGTTCACCGTTTCAGCGGTAACGGTTACAAAGGATACACCACTAAGGCGGAGGCGGAAGCTAGATACACGCACTATCTAGCAGGAGAGAGGAGGGAGCGGAGGAGGAACCGGATGAAGGCCAGTTTCATCGCGGTGATGCTCATCGTGACCTCTTCTATGTGATGGTAGTTTAGATATCGACTTGTAATGTGAAGACAAACTCGCTACTCGCAGTCTCGAGACTTGTAATGTTCTAACTTTGTTCGGTATTTTGAATTCGGAGACTAATATGTTGTGCTGTTTATATTCTGTGATGTAATATATTTTGTAACCTGTGCAAATATCAGAAAAGCAAAAAAATCCTAATATTCATAGTAGTGGCACACCTTGTTGAGCATTAGTGGCGTATCAGGGCTAAATACCAATGGCGCATTATGGGGCATAGTAATGGCGCATTGTGGGGCATACGTGAAGGTAAATATGGCCCCCTAGGAGGCATAATAATGACGCACTGTTAGACATAGTAATGATGCACTGCCAGGTGCGCCACTATTTTCTGGTATACTAATGGCGCACCAGAGGCGCGCCATTAGTATTTGTTACTAGTGACGTGGTAATAGTGGCGCACCTATAGTGCGCCATTAATGACTAAAATAGGTGCGCCACTAACAGGCCTTTTTGTCTCGCCCTACTCGGTGATACAACTTGGGATGCTTTTTTTTTAGAAGAGAAGAATGTGATGCGGGATGAGGTAGGCTCCATCCAACTTGGGAAATTAAGGGCCAAAACTAGGCTTAGTGAAATGATGTCGAGATCCAAAAACTGGGCTGGACACTGAAGCCCACGATGGGTAAAGGCACGTGTATTTTTTGGAGGGAAATTCAAAAGTACATCTTGTAGGTGTGTTATATATTCTTTAAACTTTTATGAAAAAATATTTTATTTGAGCTACAAAAAAAATTGTCGACCCACCAAATAGTAGGTCCAATTTGCATCCACTATATGCTTTTGTGTGGCCCAAAAAATGGGAAATCCCTTTCGGAGCTCGGCCTCCAAATACAAATTTGAAATTTCATCGAAATTCATATTTTTTATATTTCAAAAAATTGTAAAAAAAATACAGATATACATGAAGACATAACACACATATGTGTAAATTTTCAGTTCAAAATACATTGAAATGAGGGCTGTGCAAAAAAGACAAATCTGGGGCTACTTAACACATGATACTATTCATCCTCCTAGACCATGAATTTGTCTTTTTTGTACAGGTCGCAACTCGAGGTATTTTGTCATGAATTTTTACACACATGTGGGTTACATCCTTACATACATGCATATATTTTTTGAACCACATAAGTTTGAATTTGAATTTTTCAAAAATAAAGGCCTCCATGGAGCTCGGCCTCCAAAACGCCTCTCTCCCAAAAAATGCATTAATAACATATTATATTTTATATAGTTCACATGTACATGTTTGTTATAAAAACATTTAGTATGTTTCTTCAAATTCTACAATATTGTATACAAACTTTTGGTAAGCCATACTGTAGAAAAAATGTATTGGTAAGCCGGGTTTCATCAAGTCAACGCACGCACTTGGAAACAAGGTCACTGGCGATGTGATTTTTCTTACATTGTCCTTTTCTAAATATTCAGAAATAGGACTTTAATTACAATATTGTAGAATCATGAATAGATCAATCCAATTTGTTCGGAGTCCCTTGTTCATGATGTGTAAGTAGTACTATATGTGTTTGGAGTGGTGGCTACCTCTACATTTTACAAGTGTCGTCGACGGCAGACGAGCACACTGCGCACCACACCCCAGCCATTATACAAGTCCTAATTATTTCCATGGGCAGTGTATGCTGCCAATTCGCCGGCAAGAAGAGTATTGGCACAACTAATTTTGTTGATTCAGTCAAATGGAAGCTGGATCCTGCTGCCTGGTTTACCTGCTTCCAAACTTCCATGGACATAAGTCAGGGGAGCTTTTGCCATCTGGCCGCCCGGCGAACAAAACAAGCTAGCGAATGGAGGAGTTTGGCCAAGTCTACCTTCTGAAAAGGACAGTACAAAAATGGCCCTACTCCTTTTTCTTTGGATGGAGGGGAAAAAAGAGTCACGGACGGGTGCAGAACACGGCCACTGATTCAGGATGAGTTCATGATCATGAGCAGGGCTGTTGCACACCGCGATCCGCTTCAGTTGGGCAAATCCTCCTTACATAACCCAACTACATCCGCAGACCGCAGGTACTTTTTGTTCGAAATTACCACTACCTAGGAGTATTTGATTACAGATTTTCTTCTTCTTGCCTCGGCGAGCCGCCGTCCAAGCAAATCCTCCTTCACCATATCCGGATTGTCAATTCCGACAAAGAATTGAGCACACTCTAGCGTTGGAATTCTGAAATCAATGACGCGCCTCCTTCGCATAACAGCACCTCCGTGTCAGATGGGCAGCGCTGTCTTGCTCCTGATCACACAGGCGGCAAACGCCGTTGTGCGGCACGCCACTCAAATTAGCATGAATTGGCCCAGCCGCACCTTCGAACTGATCCGCTGCAACCCTCGTATCCTTAATCGACAACTTCTGTACCGTGCCAGCCTCAAGATTTCCCGCACCAAAAAAAGAGCATCCCCGTCCAATCAATGGTCCTTCCTGAGAATGGCCAAGCTGCCATTCCCAAGGGAGATGGGGGTGCGGCAGGAAAAGAGCTGTCTATCTCTTCTCATCAACCCACCTGAACCATTCCCGCCACAGCCCAACGGCTCGACTGAACATCTTTGGCGCGCACACTCGCTTCCAATTCACAAGGTGGTTAGGAAATAGGTAGCAGTTGCAGTCACCGGCTCACCGTCCAGTTAGCACCAGTCTTCCAGTCCTGTTGAGATGTTGCTCTTTACATGGCGAGAGCTTGCCGGTAGCCTAGTCAAGCACAGCTGGCTGTAGCTCGGCTTTCCGAACCCTACAGGCAAACCCAGATACCCATGGCCAGTAAGCTTGCACTCCACCAAAATCACACAGCATATGAGATAAATCGATACCATCACAGGAAGTAGGATAAACCACACTCTTCACATCTTAGTTCTCGGCCTGGATGCATCACCAAACGTCTTCAAGATGGCCTGGACAGCAGCAAAATCTTCCGGCCAAGGATTATCTGTATTTAAGAAGTAAAAACTGGACTGTTTAACTGTGCAAACAACCAAAAACTTACAACTCGGAAACACGGTCTTCATATTTGCGCAAGGCATGCATGTGTATTCAGTGCCAGAAATCCAAAGGCGAGAAGCAATTTCTTGCATAATTCGAATCTAGACATGCAGACAGTCAAACAAAAGATGAAAAGGCCTTCTAGTATTAATATATTTTTCTGTCATTTATATATTAAGATTGCAAGCTCAACAGAAATTTTCACAGCATTTCATCTACAAGATTATAGCAGCTTGACATTTACAAAGCACTGTTAAAATTCTTCAACCATGCTAAAACTTTCAGGTATATTTCGACAACATAGAAACGAAGAGTACACAGGAAGTGTCGCCTACAACTTTTAGAGTTGAATTGAATGGCCATTAGTTTGCTCACTATTTTTTCCCTCTTTTCCTGTAGTGCTCTGCAGCAGAATCTTCTGGGCAACTCCAGCTTCAGACAATTAACATGGCTTTCCTGCCACTGCTAGTTGTCGCAGTCATGTTGCACCTAGCCTCTACATCAGCGCAGTCTGGCCCCGGATGCAAAACACAATGTGGTGATGTCGACATCCCTTATCCGTTTGGTATTGGTATTGGTACTGGCTGTGCTATTAGAGACTTTGAGATCATCTGCAGGAGGACTGCTAATGGAATCTACAAGCCATTCTTGTTCGTTCGGAATGTGGAGGTTCTAAGCATCTCAGTGCCCCTCGGTCAAGTCCGAGTTTTATCCGACATCTCGACATACTGCTACAATACAAGTACAAGATCAATGGTACAGAAAGCTTGGTCCCTTGACTTCTCACGAAGCCCGTACCGCTTCTCCTATCTACACAACAAGCTCATAGTTATTGGATGCAACACGCTCGCATACATCAACAACTTGGGAAGCAGTGCAAGGTATACGACAGCATGCGCAGCAGTGTGTGAGAGCCCGGCAGCACTGACAAACGGTTCTTGTGTTGGCGCAGGCTGCTGCCAAAATGATATACCAAAGGATCTAAGGGGCTATATGTTCACATTTTATGATGTTTACAATAATTCCAACAGTACGCTTTTCAACCCATGTAGCTACGCCGCCATGGTGGAGACAGAGACATTTAGTTTCAGCTCGGACTTCATAACCACTACAAGGTTCAATGATACTGACGATGGGCGGAAGCCACTGGTGCTGGACTGGGTGGTCGGAAATGCAACTTGTGAAGTGGCCAGAGACATGCCTTCTTACGCGTGCCATAGCAGGAACAGCATGTGTGTGAACTCGACTAACGGCCAAGGGTATCTATGCAACTGCACCGACGGATATGAAGGGAACCCTTACCTCTTTGACGGATGCAGAGGCAAGTTCATTTCTTTACTTGATCCCTGTTCATCTTTAGATCATGTGCAATCGTTTTATGAGGAGTAATAGTTAAGGGAAATATCATTACTTGCTGTCTGTCCTGATTTTGATGCCTGGAAATACTTGAGTTTACAATCTGTTTTGCCTTTTTTTTTCATCTATAGTTTAGATCTAGTTAGGACATTTACCTCATTTTTTCTCTCTACAATGTAATTTATCTTTACTTTGGTGGAAGAATGGCAAACGTTACACTCATTATGCCATTTGAAATTTGTATTTGTCAATACACATATGCCGATTTTTCCATGCATTACTATTCAATCAATCACTTGACCCCAAATAATTTGGTTCTTTGTTGCTGCAGATGTCAATGAATGTGAGAAGAATTCAAGTATATGCCCGAAGTCTGCAACATGCCACAACACTATTGGAGGGTATTATTGTTCATGTTCTCCAGGAAGAAAGTTTGTAACGGAAACAAAGTCTTGTAACCCAGACATAGGTAAACCACTAGATGTTTTTAGCATTTGCTTTCTTGTGTAGAAAACAATGGCCAACAGTACGTAAAGATATTAATGACATTTAGCAAAAGATGGCCCAAATAGTAGAACTACCACTGCCCAGGCAAGCACATAGTTGATGTGTCTCCTTGTGTTGGGCGTGCAACAAGTCTATCCGAGGAAGCTTTAAAATAAATAGATGAAATGAGGAAAATTGACAAAAACTCAAAAAGTGAATCCAGAAACAAGCATCCGTGATTTTTTTTAGAAGGTATAATTATATTGCATCACTACCGTTTAGTCCACTTTACCACAGCAATTTTTTTCTATGCTTTTTAGTATGTACATTGTGGGATCAATTTGACTAACAGAAACACCTTTCATGTTGATTTCTACAGGCATTAGCATTGGCGTTGTCATTCTAGTGATTATCATCTTCTGCATACGTGTAATATTTGAGAGAAGAAAGCTTGCGAATGTCAAAAAACAGTATTTTCAGCAGCACGGAGGGATGCTATTGTTTGAGAAGATGAAATCAGATCAGGGACTTTCATTTACAGTGTTTACTGAAGCAGAACTGAAACAAGCAACAAATGAATTTGACGAAAACCAGATTCTTGGACATGGAGGCAATGGCACTGTGTACAAGGGAATAATTAAGGATATCACTGAAGTGGCAATTAAAAGGTGTGCATTGGTTGATGATAGGCAGAAGAAGGAATTTGGCAAAGAAATGTTGATTCTTTCCCATATCAATCACAAGAACATTGTCAAGCTATTGGGATGTTGCCTTGAGGTGGAAGTCCCCATGCTAGTATATGAGTTCATCCCAAAAGGAACATTGTTTGATCTTATTCACGGCAAGAACAGTAAACCGCATCTCCCTTTCAGTTCTCTTCTAAGGATCGTCAATGAGGCAGCTGAGGGGCTTGCATTTTTACATTCCTACGCAAACCCACCAATTCTACATGGTGATGTGAAAACCTCTAACATCCTTCTTGATGAGAATTACATGGCAAAGGTGTCAGATTTTGGGGCTTCTATAATAGCACCAATTGACAAAGCCCAGTTCGTCACAATGGTTCAAGGGACATGTGGTTATCTGGACCCTGAATATATGCAGACATGTTGCTTGACAGACAAAAGCGACGTTTATAGCTTCGGTGTTGTTCTTCTAGAGATCCTAACAGGGGAGGAGCCACTGAAACTTGAAGGTCCTGAGATATGCCGGAGCCTGTCGTCGAGTTTCCTGCTGGCTATGAAGGGGAACAATCTTGATAATATGCTCGACAATCAAATAAAAGATCATGAGAATATGGAGTTGATTGTAGGGGTAGCAGATCTAGCTAGGCAATGCTTGGAAATGTGCAGTGACAATAGGCCCTCGATGAAAGAGGTATCTGAGGAGCTTAGCAGATTAAGGAAGTTTTCGAGGCATCCTTGGATACAGCGTGATACTGAGAGAGATAGCTTTCTCGGTCTGATTGAAACAGAACAAAGCTCTGAGTGCACAGAGAAGGATGAAAGAATGCCCATAAATCCAAGCAGTTTTTACCTTATGAGGTGAACGAAAACACAGCGAATTTTATGCTTTGGCACTTTCATTGTTCATTTAACCTTCTCCTCGTTTAGCTGTATGTTGCATTTTAGTGTAAGACTCTCTTGGACCCTTGGGTATTACATAGAGACACCATAATTTAGCAAGAATAAATGTATCGTGGTACAAAATGTGGACACATTCAGTGCTAGCCATTTGAACTTGTGCGAGCTTTATAGAAGTTTCCAAAATCACTAGAAGATCAGTGGAGGACTGGGTGTGAAAATGTGATCGAGTTTGGTATTGAAACTGTGCGATTACGTCAAGTGATTTACTTTTCCTTTTTCAGGAAAGTTCACTGATTTACTCGGTCGTGTGGGCTGGGCTCACTCACTTGGTTGGATGTTCCATTTTTCATGAGAATACATACATCACTTGCTAGATTCTTTTATTTTCACCATTATATTTGAGGACACGATGTATTATAGGCCCCTAACCTACATTTGGCCTCTATAAACACATAATAAGATAAGAAAGACATAGGATAACAAAATGCAGAGACATACTTCAGTTGTGCCATAAGTCTAACACACACACCCTCGCTTGTTTTCTGAGGCAGGGAGCTTCTTTGCGTCACCCTACAGCCGCCGGCCGGCCGGGGATATGTCTTGTAATAAGGATGATGCCATGTCCATGAGTTCAAGTCCCTGCATGGATGTCCTGAACGGGATCCCGTCCTGACCTCCTGATGAACAAAAGAAAATTGTTAGGATGCTGGCTGAAGAACCATTACGTGGTCTATTTGAAAAAATGTAGAAGTAGAATGATGTAACAAAATAAAGTTCAGCAACCTGAGTATGACCGCAGGGATCCAATTGAACGGAACTGGAAGAAGGGGAATAATAGACCGAATGGCGAAGACGAACTCGGAGGGTTCCTGGCCGCGGGGCGGGGAGGGGAGGGAGTCCGCGGAGACCGTTGGCCGTGGCTGGGGCCACTCCGGCCCACCCATCTGCGCGCGCCCGGAGAAACGCATCGGCGTTGTAGGCAGGCGGCGGAGGAGGCCGTTTCCGCGGGGGGTGCCGGCGGGAGGAGGTCCGGGTGGTTGAAGAGGAGGTCGATAGAGTAGGTGGGCGGACCTCGCCGGAGCAGGCGGACGGACCCCGCCGGGTTGGGGCGGAATGCGGCGGCGCACGCCGCCGCCGCCGTAGAGTGCCCAGGCCGGTGTGGTTTAAAGTTGCGGCACGGGAATCTTGGAGCTGTTCTTTTTCGAAAGCCGTTGGATCCCCATCGCACGGTGGAAAATAGAAGAATACGTTGAGAGGAATCTTATAGCTGATGATTCTATCTATAGAAACAAAAGTTAGACAAAGAAAAGGAACAGAAAAGGTGGCTCAATCATAAGTCTATAATCATCATTTTGAGAACATGTCAGGTGACCCAGCATTCTCAATGAGAAGTTCTCCGTGCAAATAGAAGATTAGCCAATGCTAGATTTTGACGCAATTGATCATATTCAGTGTTCAAAATGTACTGTTCTCATAAACTTGGCATATATACTTCTCTAAGTTGCACGGCGACACAGAAATAGAAGTACAAATACATATAAAGATTAATCTTGGACATGAGATTTCTAACTGTTACTACTCTAGAAGCACAGAGGCACAGATAAACAATAACAGTGATTAGATCTCTAGCGTGGAAGGCTGGCACTCAGACGCTGTGACGATCGCTGTCGGCTATCTTGCCGATCGTAGGGCTGGATCATGAGCCGCTCCTCCATAGGCTTCCTTCCTGATGCGGACATCTCTGCCACAGTTGCACCCACCGCGACATCAGTTATTTCATCTGAACCTATGACTAGAGCACGAGCGAGACAGATAAATGACCAGGTACTATCGCTCCTTTGTACATATGATTTAACTAATGAAAATATTATATTACACTCATGTTTGGATTTACTTGTACTCAGGAACGAAGGTGTTGGAGAGATGAGGAAAAACCGCATGCAGATGGAAGATAAAAAATGTTGCACGTTGATTCCACAAGCAGCAACACTATTGACATGCAAGAAGGTACCTAGCCACGTACGTGCTGAAGTGCAAAAGGAGGAGAAGGAGTATTAGGCTTCCTGGACCGGAGAAGGCCACGTCCGCGTGCAGCCCATACCGTCAACAGCTAAACAAGGAAATAAACTACATGTGAGCCGGCTCATGATGCTGATTTCTTTCGAGTCGTAGCCGACCAGGATTCGTCTACGCGCAGGCGGCCGTACTCAAATAAATAGTTAGCTACTGTTAGGTTTAGATTTTGGGTTTTATTGTATTGTCTAGCCATCGCTACAATTCGCATCTACGAGACGTGTAGGACTACCGCCTTGTCAGATCCACAGTGAAACCTCAACTTTTTCATCTAGTTCGTGTGCTCAGTTTATTATCCGCAATTTCAGTTGCAATTCACCTTTGTTCTTGCTGGTTCTTCGGTTGCTTGCAGGAACTCGAACCTCGTTGTTCAGGTTGATCGTGCCTACGGCAAGGTCAATAACCATCGAAGATTGGTTTAGCGATTGTCGAGGCGTATCGTCGGGTACGGTATAGCCAGATCGTCAAGGTCAAAATCCACCAAATCGATAATTATCCCCACTCTCATCGAAAGATCGGGCCGCCGTCAGATTAAGTGGTATCAGTTTTCAGGTTCATCGGTGAGAGATTTACAGTTTTATTAGATTAGTTATTTTCTGTCCCATAGACCCACAACAAAGCCAAAAAAAATTAGATTAGCTCATCCATCACACCTACCTTTTTAGCCTTTAGCAGTTTTTGCATCTAGTATTTGCATCGTTGAATTTTTGGTTACATTCATCCTAGAATTAATGCTGGTTTAGATTGGTTAGGGTGTAAAATTATCTACTAGATCAATTTGTTTTTGTCCACCCACATAATCCCTTCCGCTCGTTCACGATCAAAAAAATAAATAAATATTGCGATCGATTGTTTCCGATTCTTATTACCTCCGGACGCCTGTGTTTTTCTTTGCTATATTTTTATCAGTCGATGATTTGATCGCACAAAATCACCGTCGCATAGCAGCAGCTTACGGCCAGACAGACAATCATCCGTGTCTGACACCGTACGTCCGCCCATCCATCCACGTGCTTGCTTTGCTAGAGCCCGCCAGCGCCGCTTCACCACACGCACCACGCCAGACATCCAAATCTCTTTGTCTGCCTCCACACGCGCCACAACCAACACTCTCCACCAGCAGCCTATTGTTTCTGTGCATTAGTACTACTAGTTTTAGGTAATCTCAACACCGGTGCACGTATAGCTAGCTCTCGTAGCACCTTTGTCCAGTAGCCTTGCTTTGTGTCCCTGACGTCTGCTAGCAACCGGCCTCAAAAAAAAGAGAAAAAAAAAGAAAAAAAGAAAAAAAAAGAGTGAAAAAAATCAAAAGAAAAGTTAAAAGAAAAAGTTGCAAAAAAAATCAGGCCGGCTAGCATCTGTTTTGGGCTGATATTTTCTTTTCTGGACATTATTTTACTGCTACAGTGTTCATCGCCGCGTCATTTATCATCTGCTTTCGAGCTTTATTATACACGACATTTATACCTCACTTATATCTAGCTACTTAGAGCTATCATATTTTTCATTGGTTTCCACTCACTTGTTTCAGTATCTAGGCTTAGATTGTTTTATCTCTTACTAGTCGACTGCCAGCACTAGTTGGGAGTTTGAGCAATTATTCAGCTTGCATTACTTTTTCACTAGTAGAAAACAGGGCTTTCGTCCAGGCCAGTTTAGCCCATTAGTCCCGGTTCAATCCAGAACCGGGACTAATGTGAGCATTTATCCCGGTTCGTGCGGCTAAGGCATTAGTCCCGGTTCACCTGTGCCCTTTAGTCCCGGTTCGTGCCTCAAACCGGGACTAAAGGGTGCGATGCCCATTAGTCCCGGTTCATGCCTCAAACCGGGACTAAAGAGTAGACCTTTAGTCCCGGTTTGAGGCACGAACCGGGACTAATGGGGTTGAGACCTTTAGTCCCGGTTCATGCCACGAACCGGTACTAAAGGTCCCATTTTCAAACTCTACCCCCCCTGTGGATCGCCTTCTCAATTTAAAAAAAATAAAAGAAAATGATGGAAATGTCAAAAAAATAAAAGAAAATAAGTTTCCCATGTGATATGTGGTCTAGTTGTTGGGAAAATTTGCAAATGTAAATTTCGACTTTATTTGCAAAATCTCTCTGGAATTTGTAAATATGGGCATAACTTTTGCATACTAACTCGGATGAAAAAGTTTTTTATATGAAAAATCATCTACTCGAAAAGTTGCATCCAAATTTAACGGGGGGATCCCCGTTAAACATTTTCAAAATCCTCAAAAACATAACAGAAAAAAAGTTACGGGGCTTTTAAGATCTAGAGTGGAAAAAATCGAAAAATTTCAAACTGTGGTCAAACAATGGTCAAACCATGGTCAAACTAATTATTCTAGAATATTAGTGTTACTAAATAATTTGTTCAGTTATTTTGAATTTTGGTCAAATCTGGTCAACCTGTGGTCAAACTATGGTCAAACAATGGTTAAGCTATGGTCAAAACATGGTCAAACCATGGTCAAACTAATTATTCTAGAATATTAGTGTTACTAAATAATTTGTTCAGTTATTTTGAATTTTGGTCAAATCTGGTCAAACTGTGGTCAAACTGTGGTCAAACTATGGTCAAACCATGGTCAAACTAATTATTCAAAATAACTATTGTTTTCTAAATAATTATTGTTTTTGAAAACAATAGTTTGAAACTCAAACAGTGAAATGTGTCAATTCATGCTCAAGCAAAATTCCTGAGGGTTAATAGGATTGACATCTTACTATTGTCAGGAAAACAACAAGTGCAGACTTGGAAACGAGGGAGAATAGAACCCGAAAGTTAAGCGTGCTCAGGCTGGGGGAGTGGGAGGATGGGTGACCGTTCGGGAAGTTAGGTGATTTGGAATGATGAGGGTGACTAGAGAAGAGGATAAATTGA